GGCGTGTTACGAGGTCTTGTTATGTTGAATTTTAAAACGTTAGTGTTTTGATTGTAGGCGGCAGTGTTGAACACTGGTACATAAACACATTCGTGTTCGGTGTTTTCTTTTACAACACATGTCAGAGAGCACGGGGAGAAATAATTAAATAAAGTCATGAATGAAATAAGAATGTTAGGAGAAATATAAATATTCATGTTACTTGCCATTTAATTGTGTAACATTTCATTAAACTAGTTTTCCTTCCAGATCTCTGGAAGGAACCAGATTTCAACTAAAAGCTCCTGTTTAGATGCAGTACAGATGAAAAGTAATTGTGCATGGAGCTGATAATGTAAAAACAATTTTTTTTAAATTTCTAGTTTCTAGTGAGAATTGTTTGTAAAAGATTGGCCTCGCGTTAGATTCTAGAGCTAAAAGTTTTTAACAAGGTCGTTTTAGACCTCAGTTTCAAACTAATTAACTCTGGCGGGAAGAATGTAAGGATCTTAAGTTTTACTAACGTTTATTTTATTTTAAATCTTTAATATCACTTCTTATTTTCTACTTACGGCCAGAATTAAAAGCTTTATCTTATTTATGCAAATTTGTCTGGCGAACGCCAAGTACTTAAGTTGTGGCTTTTTGCCAAGCAAGAAAGAGGAAGGAGTTAGTAGAAGCAGGCCGCTTGCCTTAGCAGTTTTTACTCGGTTGCTGGTTGCCTTCCAAGCCAGAAGTTTAATCCTCTTAATAATTTTAAACGTATTGTAGTGTTAACAGTTCTCTGTACTACATACGGCTTCCTGTTAATATACGGCCAATCTTCCAAGTAGGCCCTTGTTTATTATTTCAAAGTTAAGTTAGAGTTTAGTTAATATTTTTATATTCTTACGTTCAGACCACAAGTGGTTGGTCTCTGTATTCCGAAGTTCGGAAATTATTGTAAAGAGTGAAAAATAAAGGGTTTCGTATACCCTTCCTGTGTATCTTGTTACTTCCCACATTTATTGAACATAGCTTTAGTAAGCTCCCTGTTCCGAGTCAGGTTCTGGAATGTTCCCCAAGCAAGTAAGGCGGAACACAGAACCTGATAATACAACAAGCGTTATCGAGAAACATGCTCCTGACGTTCTGCTGGAACATTTTAATCACGTGTGTATGTTACAGTTCTGTAATGCGCATTAGAATATCATGCACTAATGCTTGCGACATTCTCATATAAGCCACATTTGGTTGTCCTCCATTTGTGGGCAAATGTAATTAATCGTAATACTCCGGCTATTATTGTTTATTCATAAATCAAGAATGGTCTTAAAATCTTGCCATGCAACATCTCGCACAGGACATTCACTTCCGGGTTGTCCCGCTTCAACTCCTTTGTGATATGATGAATTTTGGATCCTGAAATCGTCATGTTATATGTACTCGTATATTCAACCCAAGCAAATTGTTGAGAAAACAGCTTTGATATACGTGTAATAACGTTACATAAAAATTCACAGCACTACACTTACAAGTTACCCACAGTAAAAGGGTAGAATTATTCACAGACTTTGTGGACACCTGATATTTTCCCATCATTATTATCCTAGTTCTCACTGCGCAGAGCAATTTGCTTTTACATAAACCACACAGTTTATGATTAAACATGAAACAACACGTTTTGTAATATTTTGATTTATTGAAAAATTTATCTACATAAATGTTGAGCAAACGTATAAATTACAAAGGCATTTAATTTTCATAATAATAAAAATGCACTTCAGGTTATGAAATAAATAAGTATAAAAGCTTTCTTAGATCTTAGAGCTAAAATCAACTAGGAAACTGCCTGTGGTAATTATTGGTTCATGTTTCTTATGATCATTAAAGAAATGCAGTCAGATTTTATCTGCGTTCGTTGTAAATATTTTTTTAAACATGCGTGCTCTTCTACGTCTTTGAAGATATCACTTCCGATACTCACGTGTTCGAAATAATTCGAAATGAATGTGATTCAGAACCTTTCTTCACTTGTCGTAACTTACGAGCTCTGGAATGTTGCAAAAATATTTCAAACAGTCCGGATTCTTGATGCTGCTGACTTGAGGAACTTCATTCGTAGCCACAATCTGCCTAACAACTCGTTCCATTCTTTTGTTGTTCAAGTTGTACTGAAAAAAATATTAATAATGTAATTGTAATTATTTCATATACACTATTGGTCATATTGCTTCACTCATAAGTAAAAAGAGCTATTTTTTTTAATTTGCCAAGTAATTTATAAGTAGTGTTTGATATTGATAAATACAGCTTAATCATTTATTAGATCCGTATTCCCAGTAATTTTAATTCCATTAATGAATACTCCATTGATTTTAATCAAAATTAATGAAAGATAAGTCAGTGCACAAACAATATGAAAGCGACGTGAGAATCAGTGTCACTTTTCTTGCATTTTGTTTGCATAATGATTCCCTAATTTTCATTATATCAGTTCTTGTATTACCGAATGTTAACATCCTCCATTAAATTAAACATATATTTGCGAATAAAGTGCATTTACTTTAACAGGTTATTTTCCTTACAGGTATATCCGGAGCTTCTAGAATGACGTTTGGTACGCAGTCGACGGACAATTCCCTTTCTATGGTCTTTGAGATCTTTTCCTTGAGCTCTGGTGTAAATTTGCAGTCCTGCATTAGTTTGACAAACAGGACAGCTCTTGAGTCACCATCACTTCTACTCTGATTCACACATATATAATCCAGAATTTCTTCCATCTCGTGAACTAAAAGTAAGAAAAAAACGTAAATGATTTTTTTCAAAAGCTGAAAATTTTCCAGGAATCGCCTTGCATCCAGACAAAACGTTAATCATCAAAGTATTAAAAATAAGGATTAATAACAGATTATATTAAGTAAAGCTTCGGCGTATGCAAACTTGAAAAAATACTACAAATAAGATAATCTACAGTGAGGGGATACAGGATTGAGCTTTTGCTATCCCAATCTCATGCCACATCAGGTTTACGAATTGCTGTCTTTGTAGCTGATAAATGAAACTGCTGTGGACGGCTCAGAAGCTTCAAACATCGCACTGCGAAGGCTAAAGTGGCCTTCAGCTTGTGCTGGAAATGCTACAGGTATTTAGTCCGTAGAGACGAAAGCTTTAAAAGGTAAAACGAAGAGAGTGATCCTTTGTCACGTTGTGCGAGAGCCTGCAAGAGAAGACAGATGTCGCTGGAACGGCAGGCAAGCGCGCTTCTCGGTATGATGGTGCTTGAGCACCGGAGGCCCTAGGCACGAGGCCTTATCTGTTGTAGAAACGGTTGAAAGTTGTGAAATAATTTTAAAACAAATTCGCTCAAGTTCATGTACACAGACACTAAAATAGTCTAAACTTTCGAGAAAGAGTCCGAATCTTCGTTATTTCAAAGAACGTCGCTAACAAAAACTTTTTGAAAAGTCACGCTAATTGAAAAATTACGTCACTAGCGCAAAATAAGCACAAAAGCAGCTGAACTAGTAAGAAAAGTGCAGAAACGTGTAATCAATTGGTGCCAATAAATATAATGGAAAACCAGAAGTACCAAATAGAGCACAAGAGTATATTTCGAACAAAAATAGTATAAAATGTTTTAGGAAGTGTCCATAATTTAATTGGTAGAATAAAAAATTCCCTCAAGCATGAGAATATAATAAATAATTTATCCCAATTTATCTGTATTTCAGACACGATCTGTTATTTATTCATACTGTTTTGTACGGATATACATTTGAGAATTTAAATAATTTCTTTAAAACTATTAAATACATCTTTGGTAACATTAAACATGCCACCAAGTCCTGGCATTCTAGGTTGATTTGAAGTTTTACTTCGAGCGTTTCTAGAAATACATGCTTAAGTTTTAACAGCATCCGCATAAGAGATTCCGGTGGTGGGCACGTTTACATTTGAACTGGTAACGCAAACAGAGCTATCCCTCCTCTTAGCATCAATATTAGGCGTAAGGAATTTAGGAAATTTAGCACATCCCCGAAAGTTTACAGTGTGCCCCAAAAGTTAAATCACAATTACAATGCCTAAACGCTTGTAATTTTTGGTTACAAAATTGTCCGGCAAGCCTGTCTGGTGGAAGGGAGATACCGAAGTCTTCATGTGACCGTCACGGACCAATAGCGAGGTGGCCAACTCCAGAAAACAGAGTTTAAGCTCTTTATAGAAAGCCTGTCAGAGATAGAGATCTGCTATTTGTTCATAAATTGATTCAATCGAACGAATGCACGATCGAGACAAAAGAACGTATGATAGTTGGAAGCTAACTAACTTATTGTTTCAGGGAAGAAGAAAACGTTTATCCTCTTAAGGTTAAAGTGAATTTAATTTTTATTATTTCCAAATCTTTTCAACAATTTTCAGCGGTGTAGAAACGATGTTTTAGGAAATCTCAAAAGTACATTTAAAGAAATCAATTCACTGAGTTAACGTTGAGTCGATTTTTAATATTCCACGTCTCTTTCGATTCTATTCGCTCTTCGCTGCAGCCTCAGTAACCGATCTCTATTCCACCGCGCGGTCGCTTCTTTCCGCTCTTTAAACCATGCTCGTTAATCACTCTCAGTTCACTGTTTCATTCATTCTTCTCTAACCTTCTCATCTAGGTTATTGTTCGTGAACGATGAGTCATAAATAAGAACTGATTTATTTCAGTCATCGAACGGTTGATCCGATCCCGATTTTGTCTATGTCTTCTGTCAAAGTGCATTAATCCATGGACATATAAATTAACTTAGTACAATGGCTTCTATTCTGCCAGCACTAAAGTTCTCTGATAGCTTTCCTATTCTCGCGAATCAGAGGATCCTTGTGTGTAGGAGTGAGAGATGTTCTCTACACGCTCTTTTCATCAATGAAGCGCTTAAACCACTCAAACGCATGGGTACACATGAAGTACTTATCCACTCACGCAACACTCTTCCACATACTGTGCTTGGAGTCTGCCAAATTTCAGATAACTGGACTTTTTTTTCGAACCAGAAAATTTGCTGAAAATGCTTTGTTCATTTTTCTGAGTCAAAGGATAGGGAAAAGTGAATGGAGCACCAGAACTTCGCCTATGCATTTGCAGATTTTGCTCTGTCTCACTACTGTTCCAGTATAAAATCCATGAAAGAGCCTACTGCGTCTCTTTAAGGATACATCCCAGTTAGGAATACACTACGCAATGTGTTGCATTCCTAACTTTCTTCTACTGGGAGGCCGCGCCGTGTTGCCGTTCTGGTTCATGCACCCTGTATTTCATTATATACAATTATAACTATTTTATTTTCAAATATCAACTCATATTTTGATAATGTCTTGATGTCTATTTATATTTTTTTTATTATTCATGCATATATTATTTTGATTTTTCATTGAAAACCCCTACTGGATACATGTTTAAATGTATCACTACATTAGTTTGGGATAGCTATGTTCTGTCATATGCTATAAGCGGCATCATAGCTTATAGAGACATCAGGATTATTTTGGAAGCAGGCAAGATGAAACCTCAGCACCGACTTCGCCAGGAATCGAACCGTGGACCTCTGGAAGACGCGCCCAGCGTGCAGACCACCACATGACGAAGACATGCCAAGAAGGCCGGAGAAATACCTTAGAAGTTTTCGAGATTTTTTGTCTTTACTGCTTCCCACTCAGGATATATCTGATATCTTCTGGTGTGACTGGCAGCCTCATTTTGCAATGGTTTTATTTGGTGAGTTGACAGCTAGTAAATGCATAATGCTCGGGGTCTCCCCTTTCCCTACACATCCACGCTTCGAGGCAGCTGTTCTTCGCTCTTCATTCTTACGAATGCAAGACACAACTAAGCAAGTTCTGATTTCCACAAAAGTAAAGATAGGGTTAGTGGCTGCACTAACCCAAGAACACATATCACTGCGCATGGGTACTGCCTTGTGACAGCAACAGCCTCTATCATATTTGAATACCTTTGTACTTAGACACTACTGATATTTGCTTTAATAATTTCTATTAGCAACAGAACTAATTTGAAGGGGGGAAACTTACTTGCAAAGTATACATCACCAGGTCCAAATCGGTCACCATTCTGTATTAGAGTGTCGTCACTGAAAGATAAATTTGAATAGAGAGTTTTAGAATTATAAATAAACTTTAACATATCTTTGCAGCAAGTTCCAAGGGATGAGACATTTTTATTAATAAAACTCACATGCAATTTTCCTGCTTCCGATTCTTGGTTAATTTAATGTTTTTCTAATAATGTTACAATAAGTGCAATCTGTAGCTGGTTTACTTGTAATTTATCTGTGGTATAAGATGCGTGATGTCACTACCAGCTCTTTCTATTTAATTTTTAGATGGTTAAAAATAACACACAACAAGATGTTTTAGATTACTCTGTGTCAGTTAAATGGCTTAAAAATTAAATAATATCCTTTTAGCCACACCAAAGCTTGTCCATTCTCTTCCAAAACACCGTGTATGTATATAATGGTTTATTGCACCGCAACATTACAAGAAATAGTTTTCGCAATTTCCAAGTGGAAAACATACTGTTAAATTAACTAAAATCAATTAAATTTGAAAATGATTCATATTATTTAAATTAGCATTCATAAAATTGTAATTCCAAACTGAGATCCCATAACTGATAATAGTTATGTCAGTTAATCCTCTCCGGAATTGATGATTCTATGGGGACAAAAGATTTCCCCATAGAAATCCTCCACGAAAGCATTCCTCCTCAGGCCTCTGTGTGTTTTGTCATGTTCAAATAACTTAATATAAACGTCATGAAAATTACATATGATATTCATTTAAGTTAAATTTTAATTTAAATATAATTTAAACTGCTTTTTAAATAATTTGAAGCTTCATAAATGTTTTAAAAACAAAACAGACAACAGAGTTGAAAAGCTTGATGAAACATAAATATTGCTGATGAGTTTTTAACTCGAAAATGATGTTTAAATTAGTTTAAATTAGATACAATTTTTTTAATTAAACGCGATAGGAAGTCTGATGAGTTTCCATATCAATGAAACTTAGAGTTTATTTGCCATTACAAAACATAGCCTAAGTTTATGGAAAAGTTGTTTTAAGGTGTTTTTTAAAACCTATTTAAATTTATACACTTAGCCAAGTGCGATAACTGCTTTAACTTCTTTTTTTTATCTGCTAGAAAAGATCTTCTGCATATAGTTATATGAAACAAGATATGGATGACTTGAGCGAGGAAGAAAACAAATTCATTGTGAATGCTCAATTATCCCACCTTCCGCCATCCAACCACCTCAGTTTTGAGGAAACACATCTCAGAGGTTAATCCGAGGGTCTTTCCCCCCTTTTCCTACACCATAACCTCTCGTATAAGCATCCATACGTTTCTTGGGATAAGAACCCGAATGCATATAAGCATTCTGTACCGCACCATGCGCATAGGGAAAAATGCATCCTCGGGATTGGGTATGGCTTCCAATGAGATGATTTCCGCTACGCTTAGGAAGCCTTCGCTTAAGCTCTTGCGTTTGTTTACAGTAATAAATTTTTAGAGTTATAATATTTACAGTCTCTATTTTGATAGTAATATCGAAAAGATTATTACTGCTAATGACGTGCGCTGTAATTTTGGTGCTATGAGATTACACTTCTTACAGCATTGCAGTGTTGTGAATTAAATTAAAAAATTATAGTGAATTTTCCCCCTATATAGAAAAGCAATATTTCTTCTAGTGTGCTAAATTCGTAAATGTGTATTAATATTAGGTGCAAAGAATTTTAATAAATGTATTCTTAATTTAAAACCGTTCATAGTAAAGCTGTGGTAATTATTAATTTATTATTTCATGTTCATTATATACCCTTTCTCTGCAGATGTAATCTCATCTGTGAAAACCACACAAGTGGGTTTTCACAGATGGCAAATATGTTATGAGTTAACATAATGCACGGTAAATTCACTATATTTGTAGTTAGTCAGGAAGAGTAAAATTTAAAGTTAGACTACTATAGATTTGGCTTAGAGAAATAACGATACTCATGTTTAAATTGAATAGACTTTATGAATATCGCCCCTTTATAATGTGTAATATCTTTCGTGCCTTTTCGTAAAAATAGTGTTTATCAGAAAAAAAAGCGCCTTTCCTTATATACATGTATTAAATTCAGCGCCAATACTGAATACACGTTTTTTTTTTTTTTTTTTTTTTTTTTTTTTTCATTTAAGGGAACAGATTATCAGAAATATGAAAGACATGGATACTAGCATGGAAATAGCATATGCAGTTGCAAAAGAAATATTTTCTGCAATGTGAAAGGAAACGAACACAAAAAAGTTGCAATAATAATATACCCTTGAGCACACAGTGCCTTTACAGTTGGGTCGAAATCGTCGGGCAATCCAATGTGTTTTGGTTTTTATACAAAATTCTTGAACTTGATATTTATATAATCTAAGCACTTAAGTTTGCGCCTGGTATTAACAGCATCTTTAAAGGCTTTAATAATTTTATTATTCCATAAAACAGGAAGCCATAAGCAGGAAACTGTAAGTAAATCTTTTCATCTGGCATTATTGTTAAAAGAAAACAAACGATAATTTTAACATTTCCGTGTCACTCATGCGCGTTATTCAACGAAAACAAAACCGTAAGAGTCCCTTCTAAACGTCAATACGGCAAGCGAAAATGATGTTATCGGAAAGTATGCCCAATCACAAGCACGGATTTTTCCCTATGCTCGTGGCGTGGTACAGAATGCTTATATGCAACCCAGACCCATCTGTATCAGCGTCACAAGCCATCATCTTGTCTGGGCCGCCATTGGTTAAGCAACGAAAAATAGGAACAAGCTTTACCGCAATGCTGCCTTGAAACCAGATATTTGATTAGAATTTTTCCTTACTTTTTTTAACGAATGAAAGCAGAACTTCCAAGAGATAATGAAAACTTCAAGTATTTCTTCAAATGCTATTTAAACATTAGCCTTAACTTACCTTCTTCCAATGATAATCAGTCCTTTCGTCTTTGGATTGACCCAACAGTCATCATTGTGATACCAGAATTCTGAAATAAAGGGGATATTAATTTTTTTATTGGAAGATGTACAAGAACAAAAGCATCTAAACAACGCTGCTGCCGCGAATGTGGGAGTGTTGATAATCGTGGACTAATTAAATCTCCATATTTTATTGTTTGAGCATTATATTGAATTTAACACAGAATTTTACCTGGATATTTGGTAAGATAAATATTTTTTAGCATGCTGTTGTTGTCGTCTTTCCACAAATAAAGGGGAAAGTTTGGTGCAGGAGATGCTATGACAGCTTCGCCTCGTTCACCAATAACAAAACAACCTGAAAGAAACAAGCGAATGAATGTATAAGTTAATTTTGAAGCGGCAGATGTTTAACAAAGTATAATTATCAATTTTCTTTGTAAATTTTAAAAGAAACGAATAAGTATGTAAGTTCATTTTAAAATCGAAGATGCTTAGCAAAGTATAATTAGCATTTCTTATAAGGGAAATTATAAAAAAATAAGGAATAAGTTTATTTTGAAACCGCAGATATTTAGCTAATTACCATTTTTTTCTTGATAATTATTAAGAAAAAGACTTAGTGAGTAAAGCTCACTTTCAATAGCACATGTTTAGCAGAGTATAATTATCATTTCTTCCTTTAGAACTTTGGAAGTTGTTAAAAAAAGAATAAGTATGTAAGTTTGTTTTAAAACCGAGATGTTCATCAAAGTATAATTAATAATAATATAGTAGTATAATTAATATTTAGCGTAATTAATATTATAAAAATTATTTAGTATAATTAATATTATAAAAAATAACAAAGAAGTATGAAATTATGCAATAATTACGGACTAAGCATGTAATCATGTAATACGAATGAATATGCAAGTTCATTTTGAAATCGCAGATGTTTAGCAAAGCATAATTATCAATTCTTACTAAAAAATATAACGAATAAGTGGATTTTCTTTTGAAACCTCAGATGTTTAGCTAATTATTACATAATTACGTACTTAATTATAACTAAACAAATTGATTTAAGGAAAAATATCAAGAAATGTGTTTATATAGCTTTTAAATCACTCAATCTATTACTTAGCAACTATATAGATTGAATCTGAGCTAGGCACTGCTGCGTGGAGTATGAAGGTATTTTATTTGCAGCCGTGGCAAAACTTTGCTTTTATAGAGCCCGAGTTCGTTAATTAAAATTGAAAGGTAAATGTCTTAACATTTTTTCAAATGACAACAACCTCACGCCTAGAGATAAAAAGGTTTTATTTCGAACAATGTTGTCACTATTGGCTTACAGATAGTAGAGTTTGTTAATCAAAAATTCATTAAAATTTCGCAAAATATGAAATAAATAAAACAAATTCAAAATTCGGACTTCCAGGTGCACATGTTCGGGTGGAACACTAAGTTATGCAAAATTTGATGGCTCGATGTACCATTGTTTTTTCACAACGCCAGAAACATACATACATACATGTAGATTCTTCATCATTATCTTTTTTTAATAATACAGTGAGATTATATGTGGTGGCAACAACTTGAAAAGTGATATGCCAGTAGGTTATACAGGTTTTACGCCACAGGGAGCGGGGAGCAGAGGGTGCGAAGCCTCCTGACATGCTCACGAGAATGATTTACGGAGGAGCAAGGCCCTCTGCACTTATCTCCGATTCTGAATCACCTTTTTCTGAAATTCGTTCTTCTTCATCTGTAATGCTTTCATTCAAAATAATGTCCTCATCGTCATCACTGTCACATAAAATTGAACTGTCACATAAATCGTCATCACTGTCACATAAAATTCCGGGGTTGGTGACATAGCAACCCGTGAAAACATTCACGGGTTGCTATGTCACCAACCCCGGAATTATGGATTATCTTGCTATTGCTATGTCAGCCGCTTGTTTCATCCTGTTTGTATTGTAATCCGGTTTCATGTCCGCGCTTATCTATCAACGCAAATCCGCCATGTGATTGCAACATGATAGAAGTTAGGAGTACATTCTTTTTAGTTCAGCAACAGTCGCTAGAGGGCAGTAGTATTACCCACGGTTCATTCTGATTTTTAATCATGATTTTTAATTGATTATAGTATTTGACTTAATATGCTAGTATTTAATGAAAAAATTTCATGTATTTGTCCCTCTGTGGCATGCAAAACGTGACGATAACACAAATCCTGATATTTGACCGTGTCCATCCTCTTCGTGCAATTGACCTTGTGCAGCGGAAACCACCATGAGGCTGAAGGATTGCGCATAGGCAATTCTGTTCCAACTTACTCAGACCTTTGTACATCCTCGATAATGAACGAATTCTTAACTTTAAATTTATTTTGTGACTGTTTTAGGTTAAGATATTTTAAATTTCTCTTTCCTCATTTCTTTATCTTACAAACATAATTTACGTAATTTTCTTTTCTTCTCGCCGTTACATTGAATTACTAATTTTCACACCATATTTTTTATATTTAATCATAAAATTTTCTTTTCTACCCACAATTTTAAGTTTTACATTCATTTCCCCTACGTTTAACTTGCAAAAGTAATAAATTTTATAAAAGTAATACTTTTTCACAATTCTAATTTTTTCTCATCTTATTTTACAAAGGTTTTTTTTTTCCTTCAGTTATTTTTCGTGTTTTACATTTTTCACTTTATTTGTTTTACAAAGCTGTACTTATTTTCATACGATTTGTTTTCCTATTTTTTACGAACTCGGTCTTTTTTATCCTTCCAACATTTTACTTCAAGAAGTAATTTTTATTTTTTTTTATAAAAGTAGTGTTTTTAATTCTTTGAAGAATTTTTCTTCTCTCATTTCTTTCTTTTATTTTCCTCTTAAGGTTTTTCTTAACGTTTTCCCTGTTTTATATACTTATTGATGTTACACCTGCATTTCTCGAAGCGTAAAGTTTTATATATATATATATATATATATATATATATAGATATATATATATATATATATATAATATATATATAATAGGAGGAAACATTGTAGCGAGCTTGCTAAAAAGTTACCAGGAGCTGTAGCTCCACGAAATAGTTCAAAGCAGCAATACTAAAATATTAACATAGAAGAAATTTTTTCAAAAATTTATCAACATTGAAAAAAAAAAAGGAAAAAACTGCTTACACGCGAAATAAAACTGTTTAAAAATTTTTGACTAATAGCAGACCGCTATTTATTTTATTTTGATTTTAATTTTGTATTGCTCGGAGTTTCATTTACCTTTTCTTACACCTTAATGTGTTTTTCTGCGGATGCGTCGGGAAAAAGGAACAGAGAGTTGAAGCTCCAAAAAAGATTTTTTCGGGACAATTCAAATTTATTTAAAAAAATTTATTGCATCAAACAAGAGCTTCAATGGTCTGTTTCGGCGAAACGCGTAATGGTACGCGGTAATGGAAACGCGCCTGGTTCGACATTCAACTATTTTTCCCTTGAAAAGCCTGGTTGAGGGTACGATTGGGCTAATTTACCATTTTCCGCTTTGTAATTTTTATAATTTTTGTAATTTTGCAATTTATGTTTTAATTATAATTTTTGCAAATTATGTTTTAATCATTTTATTTTGTTTTAACTTGTTCCGTCAATCTATTTTATATGTATTAACTTTTCATATGTCACAACGATCTGATTAGTTTTTTCGTGCATTCACATGTTTCCCAACATTGATTTTAAACAGTTTTATTTCGCGTGTAAGCAGTTTTTTCCTTTTTTTTCCATGTTAATAATTTTTCAAAAAATTTCTTCTATGTTAATATTTTAATAATGCTGCGTTGAACTATTTCGTGGAGCTACAGCTCCTGGTAACTTTTTAGCAAGCTCGCTACAATGTTTCTTCCTATTATTTCATTTTTTTGCAGCATTTCGCGCAAAAAATTTTAAGACCAAATAGGTCTTACGTCTCATTACTTCTTAGCTTTTCAATTTCTATTTCGATTATATATATATATATATATATTTCTGTTTATGAAATTTAAGCTGGAACTTACACGCATATAATTTCCCTCTAGAGGCTTTCATGGATAATATTTTCTGTAAATTTAAACCAATAAGTACCATGTTCGTTACATATAGGTTAATTGGAATATTATAATTCTTATTTTTTTTACGCTCTTAATACTTAAGGTACGCAAAACTTTCTCTTCTCATGTATTACACCATACTATTAACATTCAACAGGTGATACTCCGAACGTTCTCTTCTAATGTATTATACTAACGTTTTGAAACACTATACAAAATGTCGGGGATTTTGTTTTACAAATCTCATTTTTATTCAAAAGATTCACGTAACGTATCACACAAATGTAAATTTCAAAATGTCTATTTTCCATTTAGACATTTTGATTTATATTTAATCTTTATCATGTTTTTGAAACGTATCCCTGTTAATATTTCTGATTCTTTTTTCCCTAAAAATAAATACCGACTTATACGGAATTTTTAAAGATCTACTGACTTTGAATTAAACCTTATAATTCAGAACTAATAAACTTTCGTGACATAAACATCTACTTGAATTAAGATATGGATATCTCTAGCCAGTTTAGTTAAAATACATACGAAAAAAGTAGAAATTTCTTATCATTGTCTACCCCAGTCTAATACGTACCAACAGAATTTAAGTTCTTATTATTTTACACTACAACATTTATATGAATATTTTCAGAACACTCCTTTTTATTGAGCAGGAGGATTCATATACGTAACTAACACAGATTAACTCTTTAAAATATTTTACAAAAATATCTACGATTTTCTTGTACACAACGTATTTAAATCACCGAACATACGCTAAATCTTGATTTCTATCACGCGAAAACGTCCCCCGGATTCTTAACCTTCCAGCGGGCGCGCGTATGTGTGACATACACTAGATTTTAATTTCGCATTTTTTTCGTAGACCAGAAGGCGCTATGACCGCGTGTTCTTGGCTATTCTCTCCTCTTCGTTCGCCCTTCTTTCAGTCGTCTGCTGGATTTCGAGGGGTTAATGTGAGTCTGCAGATTTACTATTTGTATTCCAGAAATACGCGCGACCGTTGAGTAGGTTTTTGCTATATCTAATTTTCCTTTTTATTATTATAGAAAATCTTTATTCTTTTGCATCTAAATCTTATAATTTTGTATAATTTGTGTGCATAATTACTTTTAATGATAAAATAGAAGCACTGTATGTGTCACATACGCGCGACCATGTATGATATTTTTGTTCTTTTCTTTTCAGTTATGGCGAATAGAAGTAAAATACTCGACATGAATGATCCGAAGGATCTTTGAGATTATAAAAAATATGTACTTTTATG